CACAAAGGCAGCACTAATTGGCCTTAGTGAATTATTGGGGGGTGGGGAGAATGTGACGTCCAGAGGGGACATGTTGGGGGACATGGGTGGAGTTGAAGGATGGAGATTGGAGGTGGATATGATCCTATTTCCTGGCATACATGTATGAAATTCTCAAGAATAAAGAAAAATTGTAAATAAAGTCAATTTTGATCAGTCATTCAAAGAAATGTCTGCTGGAAAGGGCATCTGATTCTGAGCGCACAAAACCCATGTGCAGGGACAAGCGGATATGCACAGTCACTTCCTGTCTCTCAATGGCACATCTCCACCCTCCACTGCAACGTTCATTGCCGAGCAACAATTCATGTTGAATGTACCAAATGCTGCCCCGTGGCTTTGAGTCCTCATTCTATTTGGGTCAAATCATCAAGCCAGCATTGTTCTCAGACAGACATTTAGGGGTTTCCAGAGTGAGCAAGAAGAAAGGCTGGGAAGACGTGGGGGTTTTAGGTACCCAACTCAAAATGTTGTAAAGTAACAGAAAGGTGGTTACCTGCTCCAACAAGCATTCCCGTTCATCGATGAGCGTTTTCAACCTAACATCTGAAGAGATCAGAGAGACATAGATGAATCTGCATCCCGCCCTTTCAGCATGTCACTAACAGAATAACATAAATCGGTTAGTGGAATGAGTGATGGAGGTAGTTAACCACGTACCACGACTAATGAAGCCACAGGCAGGATGGGGAGGAGCTCAGCCAAGGGGTGGTGCCAGCCTCCCGACATGCTTCTCATCAGGACAGCCTCCGGCTCATGCAAACAGGCTAATCTTCTACTTAGGCTAGCATGCAAGAACGCTAGGGAGACACGCTGCTGCAACACAAGATCTCACAGGCTTCACGTTTAGCAATGTGTAATGTTGCCGTTCACGAGCACCAACGTTTCAAGGAGGGCTCTTTCCAAGTTCACGCTCCACAAACTAGTTATCTTTCTCATTTCTCGCACAGACTCACTGATGTCAGAGTTTTAACTCTGTTTACAAGCCACAAGCCGGGCTGGGAAGAGGTGGGGGTTTTAGGTACCCAACTCAAAATGTTATAAAGTAACAGAAAGGTGGTTACCTGCTCCAACAAGCATTCCCGCTCATCGATGAGCGTTTTCAACCTAACATCTGAAGAGATCAGAGAGACATAGATGAATCTGCATCCCGCCCTTTCAGCATGTCACTAACAGAATAACATAAATCGGTTAGTGGAATGAGTGATGGAGGTAGTTAACCACGTACCACGATGAATGAGGCCACAGACAGGATGGGGAGGAGCTCAGCCAAGGGGTGGTGCCAGCCTCCCGACATGCTTCTCATCAGGACAGCCTCCGGCTCATGCAAACAGGCTAATCTTCTACTTAGGCTAGCATGCAAGAACGCTAGGGAGACACGCTGCTGCAACACAAGATCTCACAGGCTTCACGTTTAGCAATGTGCAATGTTGCCGTTCACGAGGGCTCTTTCCAAGTTCACGCTCCACAACTAGTTATCTTTCTCATTTCTCTCACAGACTCACTGATGTCAGAGTTTTAACTCTGTTTACAAGCCACAAGCCCAATGACAACATATACATTAAGCCAGGTACAGTGTGTTGTTACTTTTTTTGAACAAAAGCACAGTACTGGCTTTGGTTCCTGTAACCCTTCCCACCCTGGACACGGAATGATGTGTGTGTATCTGTCTGTCTGTCTGTCTGTCTGTCTGTCTGTCTCTCTGTCTGTCTGTCTGTCTGTCTGTCTGTCTGTCTGTCTGTCTGTCTGTCTGTCTGTCTGTCTGTCTGTCTGTCTGTCTGTCTGTCTGTCTGTCTGTCTGTCAGTTCCCCAAATCTCTCTAAGAGAGTACTAAATACTCTCTGGTCTACATGGAGAACTGAGGCCTAGTGAGGATTTTCCCATTTAAAGGCACAAATCAGGATCCTGGGTACTGACAGAGACACTAGACGCCCGTGGGGACCCTGCTGCCACTTGCAGGTGTTGATCCAACGGAGCCCAGGGTTCCCATGGGCAGCCATCTTGTTTTTTCCTTTTAGCAGAAGCAGGGAGGCCCGGTGTGACTCCTAATGCCTCCCATTCCTAATATGATCTTGTTCTTATACTGCCTCCTTCAGAATTCTCCAGAGAGTAAAAATTAACTTTGATGAGCCATGTGTGAAAGCCCATGCACATAAAACTCATCTTTGTTGTCATTTAACATCATCCAAGTTATTGGCATTTATCTTTCAAAAAACTCTACCAAAAAACTCTTGAGCTGTTACCCAGAAAGGCACACTATTACAAAATAAAAGCTAACAGAAAATCTTAATAATAATAATAATAATAATAATAATATAGTTTTCTGAGATGGAGAGATGGCTCAGTTGTTAAAGGCTAGGCTTACAACCAAAATGTCAAAAACTAATACAGTTTTCTGACCCTTTGGTATTCAACTTTAACTTATTGCCCAGTGGCTTCTGTTAGGTATTTTAGTTTTTGTTTTTCAAAATCTACCCAACCATGAAACAATCTTCCCTTATGTATTTTAGCCTCATATAAAAACAAAAACCAACCAACCAACCAACCAACCAAACAAAAATCCAAAAACTATCATTGCAATGAGCATGGACTGTATATCATAAAACAATCTTAAAGCTCATCTATCAATACACAATATTATTGTTTTTCCTCTTGACTTCAAATAACCTAGAAAAGCAGCAAAAAATAAATGGCAAAACATAATGACAGAGACAGTGAAAAAACAATGCGGGTTGTCTGAACTTCAGTTTTATAGAAGAGAATATGAAAAAGAGGTATTCAGAAACTGGAAAGAATTGGAGAGGCAAACAAAAACCAAAGCATCAAGAAAATGGAAAAACAGGAATCAGTTGTGGAAGTACACGCCTTAAAACACCAGCTCCAGGGAGCTAAGGCAGGAGGGCTGCTGAGTTTGAGGCCAGCCTGAGCTACACAGGGAGTTGGAGGCTAGCCTGGAGTATATAATGAGACCCTAAAAAAAAGACAAAAGAGGGAAAACGAAAGTATTTGATGTAGACAGCAGAATAAATCTGTCTAACTTGCTGTGGAGAGCAGGATGCGCTGGTATGCTCTGTGGGGAATTCTCCTACCTTGACTTGGCAAACAGCAGGTTCACCGATCTGCAATACTTGATGCCTAAACAGGCACAAACTACTCACTAAATACAGCAACTGTAATTTTCAGAAATGAGGCACCAAAACAAAAGAACTCACATTATCCTGAACTTGGGGCTTCCTTTGCACTCATGTTAAAATCAGTTGTCTGGTTGTTAAATTTACTTTTACATCATTAAAGAGCTTTTAAGATCTGGGTTTTTTTTTTTATCTTGTCTTGTCTTGTTTGTTTGTTTGTTTGTTTGTTTTTGCCAGGTGGTGGCGGCTCACACCTTTTTTTTTTTTTTTTTTATCTTGTCTTGTCTTGTCTTGTTTGTTTGTTTGTTTGTTTTTGCCAGGTGGTGGCGGCTCACACCTTTAATCCCAGCACTCGGGAGGTAGATGCAGGCGGATCTCTGTGAGTTCCAGGCCAGCCAGGACTGTTACACAGAGAAACCCTATCTCGACAGAAAACAAAACAAAATAAACAAAAAAAAATTTTTAAATTTCAGCAAATTTTCTGCTATACAGTTTTGAGACCCAGAAAATGGAAAACAAAGAGTTAGAGACTTCTAGAAAATTCCAGAGGGAGCCAAACAAGTGCTGGAATTCTCCAAGCTTCTGGTTTGTTTGTCATCTTGAGGTCTGGGTACCTTAGCAACTCCATCCTATGGTTATTCAAGGCCAGTCAACCCAACCCCATAACTCTAAAAGGTGCAATTCACATCTTCTGTAGGCAAAAGGGAGCCTCCTCAGGTCTAGTGGTTTGTTCATGATAAAATGTCTGGAATGTGTACTTCACACTGTGTGGGGTAATTTCAACCATCACACCCCCTCCCCATTGCCCAAGAGAGCTATCTCCTTTCCCTATGCTCAAATGTGATGATGGGGAGTGGCAGGAAACACACCAGCTGCCCCTTCCTTGAGCCCCCTCCTGATCCAACTCTGATGGAACCTATCCATGTTAGCTTCCACCTTTTCTGAGGCTAAAGGATGGCTGTTCAACTGTGTCTCTCTACTAGTTAATAGCATCCAAGGGGTTTGCATGAGCAGGGGACGATCCTCCTTCAGCCACCAGCCATTACAGCCAACAAACGTGTAAAGGGGCAAGAAGTGGATAAGGGCAGTGCAGATGGTAAAATGGCTCTTTTCCCTGGAAAAGTGTTCTCGGTATGACCACCATATCACCCCAGCACAGGAAACACAGCTCCCATCTTTTAGAGGCAAGCCATTGGGAATACATTTTACCATGTGCCCCTTGGCATAGAGACCATGAGATAGGCTGCCCAATGTGGACTCTTAGGAAGGGAGCAACTAGTAGAAAATAAAAACCGTAAGCCTTTTAATCCCTAGAGGTAACTTTCCAGGGTCTGAGCAAGAGCAGGCATTTGAATTGAAGTATGAATGGGAGCTTGACCGAAGCTGGCTGGGGTCATTGACTGCCACCTTCTGGCCCTGCAGAACCCTGGGGTACAGCCTGAAGCGAATTCCTGTTTTACTTTCATGGCAAAGGAGGGGCGCATGCAACAGCTCACCTGTCCAGTTTCTCAGGACACACGTGCACACACAGTGCCCTACACACTGGCACAAATTAGCAGAGCAAATGAAGGCTTTCACCAATGGGGCGGGGGCGGGCACAAGGATGTGTTCACAGAGTACACCAGATGGGCTGGGGACTGCTCTCTCGGCTTCCCAGTGCCAAGGCAGCCTCAACATGGAGTTCACTTGTCAATGATGAAGGCACTGAGAACTGGTTTTTCTGGAAACGACGCCGCCCCCTCCCCCCCCACCACCATGGAGCTCAAAGCCTGAAGTGCAAACAGCTACCAGGGTCAGAGATCAAGGGTCTCAAAGACCAGAACCACAGACTTGTAAAATTATAAAATGTTTTTATTTCAATTATATGACATTTCAGTTTGCCTCAAATTTTACTGAGGGTTTGGTCTTTTTGCGTTCCACTCTACCTTGTAGCAGTAGTATGAATTCACATGATCCCATAACATGTCAACAGTAGTCATACAGTACATGGCCTTGCAATTACTTTTCAATGCAACTTTATGATAATTTTTTCTAACTGCTTCTTTATATAGAAAATACATTATTTCCTTCAGGCAGGTAAAATAACTTTCCAAAAAGAAAATACTGAGAAACAACAAATAAAAATATTTATACCAAACACAAAATGTTGGATTCAAGTCTAATGAGTCCTTTGCATAAGAACAAACAATGTGTTGTACTGTTTTTTTTTTTTAATAATAAGTAGACATTCAGACAGGAAGATAACTTTAAAGTTAAAAAAATTAATGACTTTCTCCTAAACACTAAAGTAGGAAATATAATTTCAACTTGTCATTAACAGAAAAGGATAAAAATAAAATATTTGTATAAAATGAATTTATCATATTACCCATGTGAAGTGAAATAAAGATCTTGGATAAAATTAATTTGGGTACCATTGGCAATAAGATCCAAGAGCATTGGTGCAAAATTCAGCACTTAGGCGAGGTAAAGAAAGGCACGTAGTCTCCCTGTGTTATTTGATAACTGTTTGAATCCCTACAGTAATTAATCTCTACCCTGAGGTGCTGCTCCTCTCACCCAGTGACCTACCTGCTACTTATCCATCTAACTCCTTTAAATACAATACCACACAGGTTATGACGTACACATTAAGATCAAACATGAAGATACATCTACTTTAATGAGACATGGTAGTTTGACTATTCACTGCTCAAGACACAGAAATCTAAGCATGCTGTTTGGTCACTTCAACTAGATGCTGATACATTTGGTCAAGTACAGTCAACATTCATCCCGGCCTGAAGCAAATGGTTACGTTTTGCCCTTAAGACTGGAATGCAGACATGACAGGGACATGGTGTCACCTGATGCTAATGGAATGCTCTCAGCTAGAACTGAAACTGAAAACAATGGTGTCTACATGACCAATGGTTGAATACAAATCTACAAGTAACAGTCTATAACTTAAAGTCGTTGATACTTGATTGACACGTGGTACGTTCACAGAAACTGGAACATTTCGTGAACCTGGGCAGTAGAGTTGAAGGGTAGAATTCTTAAGGTTGGGCTTAGTGTGTTGAGTCCTTGGCCCTCTCTGAAACTCGGTCGCCCCATCTGCCTGCTGCCTCTGCCTCCTCATGACATGGTGCAATCCTCCTTACTCTTGCTATTCTCAACCTCCCCTCTGGCCTGCACTCCACTTTCTGAATTGCAGCCCCCCAGCTCCCCTGACAGGTCACTGTTGTCTATGCTGCAACCATCTATGGCCTTCTCCTCCATCTGGCCTGGATGTTGGGACAGCACATGTCCCTCCTCACTTCCTCTCTTTGGGGGACCTTTCTTTTTCATCGGGGAGATTTCCTCTTCTTTGCATTGGGGACTATTCTGATCCAAGACATCCCTGGGACCACCGGCAGGGTCATCTGCATCACGCTCTTCAGTTTCCTCACCCTCAGCACTGGTGCTGACCGACTGCGCTGCATCCGCCTCACACATTAACGTGTCTCCATCCCCTGCCCGGGTGTTTACACCATCTTCCTCCCCTTGGTTCTGTTTTCCATTAGACTCATTTTCAGCATCTTCCAGGCACTCGACATGTTCACTGCTTCCTGCTGTGATTTTTTGTTCTGGGTTTTTGGTCTCTTTGCTCTGGGTTTCTGCTGTCTGTTTTTTGTCAGGGAACTGGATGGACTCTTCTTCCTCCAGGTCATGCGCGTCCGTGTTCTGACAGTTTAACTCTTTGCTGGCATCTTTGCAGGTTTCCACTGAGGCTGGAGGTTTCTTCTTCTTGTTCTTTTTCTTCCTGTTCTTAGACTTCTTCTGTGGTGAGTCCAAGGCCTCTGCCTGCTGCTCGCTCTTTTCTTTGCCGGGTTCTTTCTCATCAAGTGGTGCATGTGTGGCACCTGTGACGCTTGTGTCCTGATGGCCACTCTGCACTATGGGAGCCCCAGTGGTGGCCTGGACTTCTGCCTGGATGGGCTTCTTGTCTCCGGTCTTTCTAACAGTGTTTTCCTTACTTGTTGGTGGGCTCTGAATGAGGGCCTCCTCCGGCTCAGCTACTTCTTGGCTGAGTTCTCTCTCCAAGCTCTGCTCTGCCCCTTCATTCACACTTCTTCTATCATGACTCACTGTGTCTTTGTGGTGCTCCAAAGGACCTGAGGCTACTGTACCCACTTGTTCCCCAGTGGCAGCCTGTACTACATTCTCTGTGTGGTTTCCACCTGCGTCCCTTGAGTCTGTACAGCTCACCTCGTCACCTTCAGATGTTTGCCCCAAACCTATAGAGTTTTCACTTTGATTTTTGATACCCAAGGCAGCGGGTCCTGACTCTTCACTGTCTAGACCTCCCAGGCAGTTGGACTGTTCCAACGAGTTTCTGGTCCTACCATCTGGCTGGTCTGTGACCTCCCGTGACTCAATCTGCTCTGGGTCTTTGAGGAAAGAAGTGTTCTCTTGAGCTTGGCTCCGAACCTGTTGCTCACATTTGGCCCCTGCTAGTGGTCCTGGGGACAGAGCACTGTCTTCAGTGGGTTTCTGGTCCTGGGCATTCTCACCGGGATGTGACACCCCTTGGTCCACACAATCCTTTATTGGGTTGGGTCTGGGCTGTTGTTGCTCAGTATTCTGTAAGGTTCCTCCTCCTTTCCCCATACTCTGCACAATTTCCTTTTTCAACTCCACTTCTTTGGCTTTTCCTAAAAGACCATTGAGAGAATTGAAGGGACCCCTTGATGTGGTGGGCACTTAATAGATATTAAAATGCAAAAACACATGTTCTAATTACCACCCAGTTTTCTCTGAAAGAGAGACAGAGAGGAGAGAGAGAGAGAGAGAGAGAGAGAGAGAGAGAGAGAGAGAGGAGAGAGGAAATAAGCCTTTGTCAGGCCTATGTGTCAAAGCAGCAATTGCATTAGCTTGTTTTTGATTAGTGAAGGGCCACTGCCACCACCTCCAAGGCCAGAGTGGCTGCTACCTGGTAGGAGTTGACTTTTAAAGGTGAGGTTATGATTTAACTGATGGAGAGAGCTGTGGGTCAGGCAGGCAGCCACACGAAGGTTTTCAGAGTGGATTCTTGGTCCTTCTTCCACACCCCTAACTCTAGTCGCTCACACTCTCGGCCACTCAAGTCATATGAATCTCACAGTCCTAACAGTAGCCTTCATGTTTCCTCAAAATAACGTTCATTTTCAGAAACTGACTGGGAAGCCAGTCTCAAGGAAGACGCTTGTGGAGTAAACCCTACAAGGCAGAAAGCAATCTACATTCCACTACCTGGCCTTGTCTCCTTTGGAAAATGCTCTCCTCCAGGACACACCAGCCCTTTCATCCCCAGGGGAGTGGTAAAGAACCCCAACAAAAGGAAAGCTGAAGATCAAGGTGAGCACTTAACCCATCCGTCAAAAGCCTTATCAATTAGTCAATAAATCCCCAGCCTATTGGATATTATCTTACTGGAAGTGAAAGTCTGTCAATCTAAGAACTTTGTAGTCTCTACAGTTGAGCTCTGATCCCAGGAAAATAGTGAGAAACATCTGTTCTTTATTCAGAGGCAACTTAACTTCTGCCCTTTAAGATTTTCTACTATTGCCTATGTTTAGTGGTGTATACTTTCTGTTAAAGAAACATCACAAATAGGTAAATTTAAACTGGGAAGTTCCCACAGCATTCCACTGATTAGATAGAATCTAGATCCAAAACCCTTTGAGGCCACTTACAAAAGCGGCATTTCTTCTTTTAGCCATGTCACATGACTATCAGGGATATGTCACCTGGGCATGGAGACAAGCACAGCAGGACCAGTCCCCAGCGGGGCTGTCCTGGAGGCACGGTGGAAACTATGGAATCTTTGACAGTCACAAGGGAGTGGGCAGCTGCTGGGATACAGTTCGGAGAAGTCGGTGCCTACAGGCTTCTACATGGGCATAAATGTCTACAGTCACAGTCCTGCCTTGTAATAAACCAGCAACTGGATTTACCTAAAGCCAGAATTTAAGACTCATTAATTTGTGAATCTTTGTCTCTGAAAATTATAGAAAATATTCCTCTATCCATTAGATTTCCCAACTGTGTATTCTTATAGAAGTGAACTCTGTGGCGTACAGAGTAAGGAGGGTGAATTCCAACTCCCGTGAGCACATCCCGCTTACAGCAAGGACTACTCTCAGTACCAAGGCTGCCTTCCATTCTCGGGGTGGGGGACAGCAGCTTCAGGGCTGCTATCCCAGGGGTCACCTGTCCCACTCAGGCAGTCTGCACCCTCTCCAAATGCTTGTGGGTGGGTGCCCAAGTGTGCCAGGCTGGCAGGAAAATATGCCAGCTAACCCACTTTACAGCCTCTACTGTTCCCATCGCTGGACAACTCCATTACAGGATTAAGTTGACAGCCATAATTAGAACACATTCAGAGAAAAGCCAAATCAAACCCTCAACACTATCACTTGACTTCCAGCCTTTTCTCTTTCTACTCGAAAAGCAAGGAAGAAATGTGTCCTTGAGCCATTGGTGGAAAGCACTAGACAATGCATGCTACACAGCACTGTGGGTGATCACATGGTTTGGTCGGGACACTACTATGAAGTGACAGAATAAATGGCATGCTGCGTGACTGTTAACTATGAATGGCAATCATAGTGCACAAAGGTGAGCCACTGCTGGCCAAACAATGGAAGGATCCAAAGAAAGGCTCTTACCTAGTGTCCCCTCCCCTGCTGACTTGAGGGCATTCAGCTCTTCTTTTGTCATCTTTGTAGGGCCTTGATATCCAACTCCATTCAGTGTGTCTGAAGTTTCTCCGTTGGTGGCTATTTCTGAATTTAGGATTATTCCATGTTTCTGGGAGAAAAAGAGGTTTAACATAATACTCAGTGACACCAGGCTAATGATATTTTATTAATTATAAAGGGATGTTACTTCCCCTGATGTAGATGCTAACTCTACAGGGATGGAGAAGTCTCCTCCTTGTGTGTTCCAAAACACCAGTGGTTCTCAACCTTCCTAATACTGTGAACTTTTAGTACAGTTCCTCATGTTGTGGTGATTCCCCAACCATAAAATTCTTTTGTTGCTACTTCATAACTGTCATTTTGCTACTGTTATGAGCCAGAGTATGCATATGTGATATGTGACCCGTGTGGGGGGTCATGACTCACAGGTTGAGAACCTCTGCAATACACAACCTATTTTCTGATGACAAGATACTTTAGAAAGGCTGTCTTCTAACTAGGGCAAGGGCGTGTGGGCTGCCACAAAGTGGAGCATCAGGAAAGCGAACCTTTCACTATAACAACAGTTCACTCTGTTGTGCAGAGGGCATGGCCAACTCGCTGAAAACCAGCTGCCTGCCTCAGTTGCAGAGTAACCTCCTTGCCGTCTACTTGGTTGGTCCCCAACACTTTTTCCTGGCTCTTTGGACACTCATGGTTGTTGCACACAGCCTGGACAAGGAGCACCATTTAGGTCTTAGCTCTAAGTCTGTATCTTGCTCTGACTTTGATTGGGGAGCTCAGGAGATGACACTGCCATGTCTGGGGGCAGTCAGGATGTTGCCATGGCCACACCCCTCAGCACTACAGCTACAGCAGTCTGAGAACCACCACTTAGGGTTGCCTGCTGGGTTCCCCTTACAAAAGCTGAAACTCATCCTTCCTATTATTTGACGGGTAATGTGATCCCCCCCACGTATCCCAGATACTGTTCAGCTAAGAAAATCCTCGAGCAAGAGGCTTAAACAAGGAAGCACATACATTCTAATAGAGGGTAAGAAAATACTTAGATAAATGCCAAATTCAGAGCTAGAAATCTGAGCTACTTCTCAGATCTGTTTTGCATGTAAACACCTGATGGTCCCAGGTAGAATAATGGAATGGCACTGATACCATTTACTTCATGCAGATAGTTCATTGAGGCTCAAATTTATTAACACAATTAGCGACAAAAGCAGAGCCAGCACCCATGGCCACAGACCCACAGAACTTGAAGTTGTCAGCTTGGTCCTTTCCTTCCTTCTTTCCTTCCTCCCTCCCTTCCTTCCTTTTTTTCCCTCAATGCAGGATCTCTCTGTGTAATCCTTGTTGTCCTGAAACTCCCTGTAGACCAGGCTGGCCTTGAACTCAGAGAGATCCGCCTGTCTCTGCCTCCCAAGTGCTGGGATTAAAGGCGTGTGCCACCACTTCCCAGCAACCTTGGTATTTTTCTTCAACTGCCTTGGTTTCGTACCTTTAACTCCTCTTTCAGCTTGACTGTTTCTTCTCTAAGGTCATCTCGTTCGCTCCGTATGGAATCAAAGAACTCTTTCTGTCTTTCTAGTGCCTGAGTGTGCAGCAGAGCAGGGGGGGGGGCGCGAGGAGAGGGAGAGAGAGGTATAGAGAGAGGGAGAGATTAGCACAGGTAGCAGGGTAAGCAAGAAGCAAGGATTAGGAGCACTGCCATCCAGTGCACCAGTGAGAAAGGATGCTATTGGGTTTATGCCAGCCTAGAGCAGCTACTGTTCACACATTAGAATGTCAAGGTTGGGGATGCTATGGAGGAAGGCTGCTTCATACCATCCATTTGTCTTTTGTTTTCTCATTGTAGTACTGCGGACTGAGCCAGGGACCTCACATACGGGAGGCAAGTGGTCTACTACAAAGAAACATCCCTAGGATATCCCATTACTAGCTCAGTTTATTTTCTTCTTTTTTTGGGGGGGGTGTTGTTTGTTTTTTGAGATAGGGTCTCACTGTGTGGCCCTGGTTGGCCTGGAACTCGCCTCCCCAGTGCTGGGATTAAAGGTGTATGCCACCACTGTCTGGCATTAGGTTTATTTTTATCTCATGATGTGGTGCTGCAGAGTTAACAGGAGTCCCATGGTCCTTTAAACAAGAAAGGTTGCTAGAGAACCCTACTTTATAACTTTAGACATTTTTGTGTTTATTTTCCTATTCACATGTATGTGTGTCTGCGCACACGTATTTCTGTGTATAATTCAGAGGATAATACCAGGTGTCATTCCTCAAATACCATCCTCTTTGTTTTATATTTTATTTAAAGACAGAGTCTCCCACTGGCCTGCAGTTCCCTGATTAGGCCAGTCTGGCTGGGCATTGAGCCTTAGGAATGTCGTTATCTCCACCTCTCCGAGCCAGGGTTACAAATGTGTGTCATCATGTCTGGTCTGGTACTTTACAAGCAGCCATCTCCCTAGTCTATTTTTAGACAGTGGTTATGAGCATCTGCTGTTCAAAAAAAAAAAAGTCCTGGAAGGGCATGCTTGCACACACACGAGTACACAGTGCATGAACGCATAGTCTCTTAGCCAAGGCTTGTGAATGTGTCAAAGGGCAATGGTGGGCTTCATATTGTGAACATTTCTGTGATGTGACAGATCACCTCTAGACCTGTCTTGGGGCCCTGTCACATAAGTTGCTACTTTTTAGGTACCACGTGCCACTATGAGTCAGCAGTGACGTGGTGGGGATGGGCTGTCTCCTCTCTGCTGAGGAGGGTGAGGGGTCTGACGAGGCCTCCCTGGAGAGGTTTTAAAATGGGAACCCATGGGGCGTGGCATGCTGCCACCCACAGCATCACAAAAGCCCAAGGGAATTCTGGAGTTTTATCCTCCATGCTGAGCTGCTCAGAGCCTTTCTCCTTGTATGGGCTGCATTGCACCTAGGTCCCCCCTGGTGCAGTAGGGAGAGGGAGACAACTCCAACTATACAGCTATGGTTCCGTCCACCTGAGTAAGCTGGGGTAGTCACCATGCTGTTCACCTCGTGTCACAGGAGGGTCGCATGCACATCCATGCAAACACTCTTCCAAACCAAAGCTTCTGCAGGAAACACATTTGCTGAGCAGCCCACCCCTTCCCTGGAACAGTTTTGCGAAGGCTTGAGACTCCTACCCCTATCTTTTTGTCTTTCCACTCTATCGTTTCCTGAAGATCAGAGATCTCCCTGATAAAACCCGCCTGTTTCTGCTGCAGCTGTCGGATCTCCTGAGGAGAGGAACAGACAGAAAGAAAGCAGACAAAGGGTTGAGCAGAGAGAAGAATTCGGTGCTGGATGACCACGACCATGGTGAGGGACGGGTGGGTGGGGAGGTCTCACCACCCCCAGGATTCAGCAGCATGATAGGATCTTCTTCTTCTTCTTTTTTTTTTTTTTCTACTCTCAGTGCCCAGAAGAAAACCAGCCTGGCTGACAGCTTACCTCAAAGCCATACTTATAGTCCCGATTAAGTTACCAACCCTGTACCAGCCCCATACTGTCATGCTTTGCTTAATTGTAGGACATCAGTCTGAGAAAGTGTAGGTAGTTGAGCCCACCATTTTGCAAACATCATAAATTACGGATAATAGTGATGACTGCAATATCACTATGTAATAAAATCTATGGGGCCACTGTCATATGTGTGTCGCACTGCTGATCAGAATGCTATGTGGCACACACTCCTGCCAGTTTCCTCGTAACAAGTGACAACAGCTTCCGCGAAAGTCACGTGACTATATTCTCTCAGCTCTGAGACTGTTTTGAAAGAATCTTCTGAGGAGAGGATCAATAACCTTTTCTTTCCCAGTTCCTAGAACATCCGTTCTCAACCTGGGGGTCATGACCATGGGAAAACACAGATTTCTGATGGTCTTAGGAACTGAGACACCACCCAGCATCAAATCTCAGTTATGAAGTAGCAACGAAGGTAAGTTTATGGTTGGGGGTTCCCAAGATCATCAGAGACGATGTGCTTTTTGATGGTGGTGATCCACAGGTTGAGAACCACCGTCTTAAGCCTTGCACACATTCTTGCTTTGTGTTTCTTCTTCACAAGTTCTAACCTCGACTGCTCCTACCACAGCATCTGACGCGACTCCCTCTCGTGGGTACCTTGTGATTGTGTCAGAGCCACACAGATGATCAACGACAACCTTCCATCTCAAGGTCCGTTTGACTCACCTTTGAAATCTCCTTTTGTCCCATATTTACTTTAAGGGACTTAGGATGTGGACTTCTCAGAGGTGGGCATTAATTTGTCACACCTCCCAACACACACACATGAACACCAGAGTTGAGAGTCTTCACCCACAGGAGGAACCCTCTGCTCAAGGGATGGAAAGTTAGCCTGATCCCTGGACTTTAACTTTAGGGATTGCTACGAGCTGACTCCCTGGCCTCCAAGGTGACAAGTGTTTGGAGATAGTATCTTCAGAAGCATAAAGGTTAAATGACGTCATGAGGGTGGGTCCCAGGTTGGATAGGATGAGTGTCCATATTGAAAGCATACATTCTCTGTGCCCAAGGAGTCAACACCGACCTGGACTTTGGTCTCCAGAACTGTGAGGAAATACACACTTGTTGTCAAGGCCACCAAGTTTGTGGTATATTTGTTATAATAACCTGGGCTAAAAGAGCAAGGAACCGACAGAAAGGGAAGAAGAAAGGAGCTGCCCACCTCAAGCATCTCTTCCCTTTGCCTCAGGGCTTCTTTTACTTCGGCAAACTGGAACTGCAGGATGCTGTGGGCATGCTTCTCCCTCTCGAACTCCTGTGGGTGACGAGCACAGTACTGAGGCTGCGGTTCAGTGGCGTGTTTCTGTCACAGGTTCATGTTCTCATGAGCCACGTTTCCCACACGACAAACAACCCTTTACTACGTCATCACCATTTCCAAGGGGCACACGACACAAACTCATTTCTCTGCCCTCCATAGAGGACGATCAGACAGTTTCCTCTAAAGTTAATCCTCAGATTGTGTGCAGTTGACAAGTATTTCCCAAACCTCTCTTGATAAGATGTGTTCCAGGAGCCAGGTGGTGGTGGCACACGCCTTTAATCCCAGCACCTAGGTTGGCCTCAAACTCACAGAGATTCGCCGGCCTCAGCTCCCTGAGTGCTGAGATTAAAGGCGTGCACCACCACCGAGCCGCTATATACATGCTTTTTCATGGTTGTTTTATTTTCATGCAAAATACCAACATTCTAGTAAAACTCTCTAGTTTACACATTGAAACTATGCATTTCAAATTATTCAGAGAAAAGCACAGATGTCTGAGTTTTATATGTATATATGTAAATGTGTGTGTGCATAGGTTTGTGGAAGCCAGAAGTTTACCTTGGGTGTCATTCTTCAGGAGCTGTCATCACTAACATTTCAAATTATTCAGAGAAAAGCACAGATGTCCGAGTTTTATATGTATATATGTGTATATGTAAATGTGTGTGTGCATAGGTGTGTGGAAGCCAGAAGTTTACCTTGGGTGTCATTCTTCAGGAGCTGTCATCCTTGAGTTTTGTTTTTCTTTTTAAGATTGATTTTATTATTCTTACTTATGTATATGTGTATGGGTCTTTGCACATATGTGCAGATGCCCACAGAGGCCACAGCCATCAGATCCCTGGAGCTATTGTTACAGGTATTGGAGAGCCACAAGAGTGCTGGGAACCAAACATGCCCACCCCACCCCACCCCCCAAGACAGCATTCACTCCTCTGCACTTGGCCATCTTTCCAGCCCTGACCTTGGTTTTTGAGAAAGGGTTTCTTCTGGTCAGAAGCTGGCTGATTCAGTTAGTCTGGCTACTCAGTAAGCACCAGAGACCACCTGTCTCTGCCTCTCCAGCTGGGATTACAAGCACATGCCACCACAGATGCTGAGGACTGACCTAAGGTCTGATGCAGCAAATGCTTTGCAGAGTAAGTTACCTCCCCTGCCCATGGGATTGTTTTGTTTGGCAATGGAGTCCTGTTAAGTCAGTCTCAGACTTGCAATTCTCCTGCCTCAGCCTCCTACATGCTGGAATCATAGCTATTGCCACCACGTATGACAAAGACACAGTATTCTAAATCTCGGACTCTGGGCTTCCTGGACAAGTGGAGAATCACTGTTTAAAAAGCAGTTTGGAGAGACAGCTCAGCAGTTAAGTGCATATACTGCTTATGTAGAAAGCCGGGGTTCAATTTTTAGCACCCACATCAAGCATCTCACAACTGCCTGTAACTCCAGCTCTAGGGGATCCTACACCCTCCTCTGGCCTCTGCAAGCTAGTGTACACCCCTCCCCCATAGTTAGCAAAAATAAAAATCCTTAAAAAATATAAGGATTTACACAGCTCCCCCTAGCATTCCTGAGCAGGGTGGTACTTACCTTGTTCTTCTCCTCATACTGTCTCTGGGACTCGGCCAGCTGCTCTTCCAGCTCCAGCAGCATGTCCTTCAGTGTGTCTACCTGGTACATGAAGTTGGTCTTCTCGTTGTCTAGCTGGGCATTGGAGACCATGGCCTTCTTGTACTTCTCCTCAACTTCGGCCAGCGAGTCCTGAAGAAATGAGGCCATCATTTCAAAACCGCAAAAAGGAAAACAAGCTGAGATTAAGCCAGAGTTCTTTTCCAATCTCAGCCTTTGTTTCTTAGATTAGAAGAGACACAGTGCCATTTTAAATGCACAGAGCCCACCTTTCAATGTCCCTTCCACTCAGATAAGTAATTTTTCCGCTGTGGGGGGAGAGCAACTGTAGCCTGTGGCTTGCCTGTGGGGAATTATGTTAACTAGATTAACTGAGGCGGGAAGGCCCACCCTAAATGTGGGCCATCCCTGAACTGGGCCATCCCTGAGCCTTGCATAGAAATAAGAAAGGGAACACCAGCCAGCCCTCATGACTCTGCTTGTGGACTACACAGGCAACGTGACCAGCTCCCTCTCGTTCTTGCCCCCAGGACTCCCTTCCATGATAGACTATATCCTTCATCTGTGAACCAAAATAAACCACTTCTCCTTTAAGTTGCCTTTGTCATGGCATTTTGTAGCAGCAGCAGGAAAAGTAGCTAGCAGTGATCTATCTTCTCCTTAAGACAAGGAGGTGTGTGGGATGCTGGTTGCTCAGGGAAGCAGCACAGCCACTCACTGACTTCTTCTGATTCAGCAGCCAGGACCTTTCCACCATGGGCCATGGCAGCTCAATGGGTTTCTGAAGTCATCGCTCAATGTGTGGCTACAGCCTGGGCAAGAGCCAGTTACTGATGGAAATAAAACCCTGCCACGAGCTATTGCTAGGCCACCCCACTCAGGCTTGGGAACCAGGAAAGGATTTGTGGTCATTGCAGGTTTCTGACTCATGGGAAATTAAACAAGGTACACAGACAGGTCTTACTGGGTAGGTCCTGGAAAGACCAAGGTCATTTGTTTGAAAGAGCAGTCGTGGGAAAGAAGCTGTAAAAGATATTATTGACAGCGCCCAAACATGGCTCCCACTCTTGTAGGCTCCAACATGTGAGTGTCAGGAAAGAAATGCCAGGAAGGGGGCAGTCATCAGGTGACTAAGAGCCAGCCACCAGCCTAAGAGAGAGGGGTTGACTCAAGTGTCAGAGCTGCGAAGAGGCCCTGTGGAATTCTGCACTGGTCTTGCTCTGGGTATCCACACCATGACCACCTGAGGTGGTTCCATCAGATCCCAGTGGAGTCACTGGCTCCACTTTTAGGTGAATGAAAAGCCAGAGTCTTAATTTTTCTGTTATATAGAAATGACCATGAAAATGACAAATTAGTATGTGTGACTTATGCCACGTCTCTGTCTGGTGTTTATTGCTATGGAATTTACATGATTTCTTAGGCCCTTTCTGGGGAGATGAAAAAGAAGCAGCAGATCTGTCTTGCTGAATCCAGATTTGCCATGGGCTCTTTGGTGGCTATGGCTTTGTGCCTTGGCACTGATCCCTATGGCACCTGCTCACCCCAGCATTGTTAAAGAACTGGGAAGCTACATTTCCTGTTGGCATGACGACGTCCTTCACAGTGCTGAGAGCAGTGGACACACAAACACTCTCAGATGCTGTCCCCTAAGTACAAGTTGACAACATGCACTAACCTGGATGCTTCCAAAGCACACATGTTAGGACAGCTCTAGTGAGCTTGGCAAAGCAAACAGGGAGAAGGACAGTTGTATGGGACAACTACGGAGAGTGAAGAGAACCAAAACTCTCCAGTGCCATCTTTCCCACCGGGGACTCACTGTGTTCAGAAAGTGCATTTGGAAGAAGACAAAGTGTTAGAATTCCCATGCTCCCCCACTCTCCACAAGGGCGTCCTTCAGGGTGAGCATGCTCATGGCACTTCTGTGAGGCTTTTTAAGGTTAAGATGGGTTAGTGTCACGGGCTCACACGTCCATAAACCGGTACCTTCATCTCTTTCAGTCCCTGCATGTATCTGCCTTCTACATCCTGAATCTGGTCCTTTAACTCATTAAGTTCCTGAGGGAAACGCACAAAAGGCAGATGATGTCAAGGGAGGGGATCGGCAGAGTTCACACGCATACCTATGGCTTTCTTATGTCTGGGTCTGCCCCATTGTTTAGGCAGTCTTCTTCATTTTATTAAGCATTAAAGGGAAGTGAAAAATAAGTTTCAGCACTAGAAAGATAAAATTTTATGTGTAGTTTACACATTTTAATACAATGCTGTCAAATTAAGGTGTATCTTGTTTTATAATTAAAAATGGGAAAAAAGAGCCAGGCAGTGGTGGTGCACACCTTTAGTCCCAGCACTTGGGAGACAGAGGCAGATGGATCCCTGTGAGTTCAAGGCCAGCCTGGTCTACAGAGTGAGTTCCAGGACAGCCAGGGCTTCATAGAGAAACCTTATCTCAAACCAAAACAACAACAACAACAACAACACTAACAACAACAACAACAAAAATAAGGACAAAAAGTTGGGGCTGGAGAGATGGTTCATTGGTTGAGAGGACTTGCTGCTCTTTCAGAGGTTCTGGGTTCGATTACCAGCACCCACATGGTGACTTACAACCCTTTGCAACTCCGTTCCAGGGGATCTGGTACCCTATTTTCGTCTCTGTGGGAACCTGGCATGCATGTGGTTCACAGGCATACCTGAAGACAAAACATCCATACACATAAAGTAAATAATAACTAAGTAAATCTTTAAAGAGCAAAAACAAACAGGCGAGTGGGGGTGGATGGAGACGGCTCAGTGGCTCACAGGGCCTGCGGCTCTTCCGGAACACCCCAGTTTGGTTCCCAGCACCCAAATCAGGAGGCTGATTCGATTAGCACCCATCACTCCAGCTTCAGAGGATCCAACACCTCCTCTGGTCTCCGTGGGCAGCTGGCACACATGTGGTACAGATATACATAAAATAATAATAATAAACCTTCAGCAACAATGACTAGTGAAAAGAACTCTGACAAGAGTGTCGCTCCCTGTCTTCCTACCCCACAGACACGGTGAGCTGCTGGGGGCGGAGATCAGCTCATCCCAGTCCCTGCACTCACAGAATTCCGGATTCTCTCCCTGTGCCTGGTACTTGAGGACAGATGTGCCACAAACTAGTCTCCTGGCAAACATCTGCCGGGCAAGTGAACAGTACTCACGCCTAAGAGCAGAGACTAAATAGGACTGAAGAGAAAACAACGGTGTTGGTTGTGAGCAAATGCTATCTCTCTGGCTGCTTAGTCCCTATGAACCAGATTTGAGTATGATGAAACTCTCCCACAAAATTAGCCAAACCCAGTCCTTTCAGACCCTCTTTCTTGCTCTGCTCTCCGAAGGACACACATTCTGGTCCCCTACCCTCCATTCCTTTCCTGTTTGGGACACAATTGTTCTAATCACCTAACAGCACACACTATACTAATAACTAACAAACAGTACTAGGCTGTGTGTCTTTATATATACTGAGAAGGTCACCAAACATGGCACCATCCTTGGTGTCAAAGGTTTAACAGAGAATAACATCTGTGCTATTAAAAAAAAATCACTAAGATGCAGTGATGACGTCTACCAGAGGCACAAACGGAAGGGACAGCACACACTCTGGGCGAGGCAGAAGGTGCTAGATAGAGGGTGGGCACTGGCTGTGGTCCTGGAACAGCGATATGAGGGCAGATGACAGCAATATTTCACTATCTAGAACACTCCAGAAAATGAAAAGTGAATATCTACATTTGTTAGCACATGGTGAGAGATGGCATGGCCCGCAGACCATGGAGAACAGAGCTCTGATGGCCACAGAGAAGGACACATGCTCCTCCCTGCTTGGGTACAGACAGGTAAAGCTTCCCACAAAGATGCTGCCTCAGCTGGGTCCTGTGTTAGGAGGAAGCCATGTTTTGAGGCAGATGGAGGAGATGGGACAGATCTGGAACCTCCCAACCAAATCTCTGTAAATATGAAGAAGACTAATCAACCTTTCAAGGAGTTCTGTTAAGTCACAAGCGAGCAGTGTCTTACCTTAATTTCCCTGATGGATGCCTCGGTGTCCATGGAGATGGAGGTATCTCCACTTCCTCTCCGGGAGGAAGTCCCACCCAGAGAAGCCAGCGTGGCAGCAGACAAGCTGGGCATGTTACGGGACCCCTGGGAAGGAAGAAGATCAAATGTGATTCAGTAAAACCAAAATTGCCAACAAGCCCAACATTTCAGAACCTTTTCTCCCATGTGCCAGTTTTAGCTTCCACAGACGATCATTTCTTGTGTGTAAATGTGCATGTGAGCTATGTGCATGTGTAGGTAACAGTGTAGAGGCTACAGGAGGCTGCCAGGTGTCCTCTTTTTGTCACTATCCACTGAATTCCCCTGAGATGAGGCTTCTCACTGAGCCTGAAACTCACCATTTTGTACAGACTAGACGGCTAGTTATAGCACTGGGGTTACAGGTACACGTGAACACACCCAGCTTTTTACATGTGTGCTGGGGATTTGAACTCAGGTCCTCACGTTTGTACGACAAGCACTCTTACCCACTGAGCCATCTCCCTGGCCTCAGCACACCTTCTCTTTAACTCAGCTTCTATACTGGACAATCTCACATGGGCTTCTGGCCAGTGTTAAAAAGGCTCATTCAGAGATGTTTCTCGGGTGTTTTGGGTTTGTCTAGTTAGCAGTGAGCTCTTCATTGTCCCTCAGATTTCAACACTCACGCTGGACCCCTTTGGAGACACAATATCACGCTGTGTGGCCCACTTAGCAGTCTCAGTCATTCACTTATTTTATTAAACAAGTCACTGAGTTCAGTCTCACCCAGGACCTTCTAGATTTATAGCTAACCCGAGACAGAGGCTTGCAGAAATCCCTTACCTTCTCAGTGAAGTCTTTGTCTGGTCTTTCTTCTACCTGTGGAGGAAATGGACAACTGTTAAATATTTCAAAGCACTGAATTGATCATATGAACTCTGTAGTATGTTGCTAAAAAAAAAGAAACAGAAAAAGAAAAAAACAACAAAACATTACCTTGTGCTGTAATTTTAAAACAAAAGAAACAAAATACTACAACTCTGGCTTTCCCCATCTTTCCTGTGTGGAAATCTCTTTGAGGCCCTTCCTTTCCTCAGATAGAAACCTCAGTGAGACTGAGAGCTGCCTATGAGGTTGAAAGCAGGTGTGCATTGGTGTAGAGACCCAAGAGAGACACCTGGGTTGAAGGGTGTGTCTTGGGGACCGAGTGAGGCTGAAGCTGGAGTAAAGACTGTTCCTTTCTTTGCTCAACATCTAAAATAAGACCAAGTTCTGTCCCTGGCCCTCTGGGAAGTCACACAGTGCTGGGCTACCATCAGCACCCATGCTTTCCCCCTCAGTCCTAAGTGCTGCTTCCTAGAGCTCAGAAGTCTTAACTTTGGCCCCAAGAGCATTCGCCCAAAATATCAGTGACAAATACACATCCCATCTCAGATTCACAGACTGGAGTGGCAGGGGTCACTGTGGACACCTGTGCAGGCTTATGACGGAAGGTCCCGAAGTCACCACTATGCTCTGAGGTCACAGCTCACAGACAACATGAGTAGCAAGGGAAAATGGTCACTAGGCACAAGACACCCACCTCCAATGCCCGTTTCTTTTCCATGTGTGTCCTAGTCTAACCAGTAAATAGAAAGGATGGAGGTCCTGCTGTACAGACCCAGGAGACCCACTGCCAGCCATTGCTGACATGTGGGATAATCACCAGATGTTGCAAATTTTCAGATGTGTAATCCACACTGGCTTGACTGTACAATGTGGAGTGCTGAGGCAGGCCCCAATTAAGACAGTTTAATCTCACTGTCTACAGAGTTGGAGAGCCCTGCTCCATTTTCCTTGGTCGTGTATGTAAGTATGTTCATGAGTGTGCATGTGGAGGCCAGAAGCTGACACACAGTGTCTTCTTCAGCTCTCCACTTTATTGTTTGAGACAGGGTCTCTCACTGAACCTGAGGCTTGCTGATTCAGTGGCTGGCCAGCAAGCCTAGGGCTTCTCCTGTGTCCATCTCCCCAGAACTAGAATTTCAGGCATGAACTGCCATGCCTGACTTTTTACATGACATCTGAAAACTCAGGTCACCACGGCAAGCTCTTTATGGACTGAAACCACTCTCCTATGTTCTGAGTTTCAAGGATGATTTTTGGCAGGAAATGAAGTTCTTGGGAATAAAAATATTTCTGAAATACTGTTCGAATAAAAATTGGGGGGCAGCTAAGGAGAAGTAAGGTAGCTGGCATCAACTCTCCTGGGCAATCAATTTATTAACTCCCTTAGGCCCAAAGCCTCATTCCTTGGATGAGTTGGTCTGCAGATGAATATTAATGAACCCAAAATAGAGACAGGATAAACAGGTCCAACTTTGTGATGCTGGGGATGGCAAACAGATGCAACTTGTCAACTTGAAAACAAAATGGAATGGAAAACAAAACAACATGCTGCAAGGTACATTTCCTGTGTCTCTATGGAATGTACCCTCCCCAATTTGAAGCAGGCAGCTGCTGGGGACCCACAGAGCTGCTGTTCCCACTGGCTCCATTAGATGGCAGCATGGCCAGGTCTGCCTATGGTCAGGTCAGCCCCAGACACAAAGGGACAGAAAAACAAGCCGGATGGTATCCTTCACTCTGATAGAGAGTGTGCCACTGTACCTCTGAAAATAATATACAAGGGAAGAGAATACATCCATGGCTGCTGCATGACCCGCTGTGAAGGCTGCCATGGAAACAAGGCCACCAGAAGTGGACATAGCAGACACATGGGACAGGCCCCTAGACCTACAAATACTGGCTTTCCCTTCATGGAAAGGGGAAGGGTACCAAAAGGGAAGAGAACACATCCATGACTGCTGCATGACCCGCTGTGAAGGCTGCCATGGAGACAAGGCCACCAGAAGTGGACATAGCAGACACATGGGACAGGCCACTAGACCTACAAATACTGGCTTTCCCTTCATGGAAAGGGGAAGGGTACCAGAAATCATGCGACCTACTTTTTTTTTTTTTTTTTTTTTTTTTTAAAAAACAGGTTTAAAAATGATCTTTTCTGTTTTTTTTTCCACCCCCGTGGATTCTTTTGAGGATCATGTGATGAGGTTTTAAACACCCATTTGCATGTCACTGTCTGCTGGCCTATTTGAAGATAAAGAAATCCAAACAAGAACTGGCCCAAGAAAGAACCTAGCCTCATGGTCCCAACTCCCAGACAGGCCACATCAGATACTGGAAGGCAAACAGGGTCCCTGAAGCAATGGCATTGCAACAACCCTTGCAAAACAAGTGACACAGCAAACTCCACTCAGGGAATGTCCATTTTAAAGGCTGCTTCCCTTCCAATGTCAGTGACAGTGGGGCTCACCATTAGTGTGGGAATTTTTGGTTTTATTACTTATTATTTATTTAGGGTGTATGTACATGCTATGACGTATGTGGAGAAGTCAGAGGATAACTCGTAGGACTTGGTTCTCTCCTATGTGCGTCTTGGAGGTCATCAGGCTTGGCAGCAAGTGCCTTTAGTCACTAAGCCATCTCACTGACCCTGATTTTATTTTTGAGACAGAATTTATGTAGCTGAGAGTAGCCTGGGATTCACTATGTAACCCAAGATAGCCTTAAAATCATGGTGCGCCTTGCTCAGCCGCTCCAGTACTGGGATTAGTCACATGCCACCATACTTGGTGAACTGTCGGTTCTAAATCTACTCTTGTACCCACAGATGCAGGCTTGCTCTCCACTGCATCCTGCCTGTGACATGAGTCACAAGGGTCTTTGTTTTCAAATTCAAATGGGCAAACAGCTGAGCCCAGAACTTTTCTGTGAACACACAAGACAACACGAGTCCTGGCTCCACTCAAGATAGCCCTGAAGGGAGGCTCTGCTGGATTCCAGGGGCCTGTGAGACTTGGGCGAGGGAGATGCTCTGGGCATCACCAGGCTCTGCTTGACTGTGGTTGAAGTCTATACCTTCCACCCCAGATCCACCTCTCTCTAGACACCTGTCTCCACTGCCGTACGGCTGATGCTTACGCAATTCATTTGGTGAACATCTTATTCTCGCCCAGTCTGTCTACTCCACGAAGGGCAAGGGCAGGGCTACACTGCCCAACATTGTAGATTCATGACCAGAATATTCTAGGTGCTTAATTAACACTGAATGGGTGAACTACAACCCCTTCAAGGAGAAGACTCTGGACATAAGAGAAAGAAAATGTCTCTGTGTGTGTGTGTGTGTGTGTGTGTGTGTGTGTGTGTGT